ATGCTGCCGGGGGTGGGCGTGTTCGGCACCAGCCTCACGGCTCGTGTCATCATTCCGCTGCTGAAGGACGAGGGCTTCTCGGTGAAAGCGTTGTGGGGCCGCACGCAGGAGGAAGCGGAGGAGCTGGCCAAGGAGATGAGCGTCCCTTTCTACACCAGCCGCATTGACGAGGTGCTGCTGCATCAGGACGTGGATCTGGTGTGCATTAACCTGCCGCCGCCCCTCACGAGGCAGATCGCGGTCAAAACCCTGGGTGAGCGACCCCTCCTTCCCCTCCTCTCAGCCTCCCCCGCCCCCCCTGCCGGCTTCCCCCCTTTTCCATTCCCGAACCGTACCTGCCATCTATCCACCCTCCCCGATCCCACCTGGAACTCCCTCCTTTTCCTGTCCCTGGCCTTGGTCCCTCCTGGCGCTCGCCCCCCACGTGCGTGCCGAGCTCGGAGGAGCGTAATCCCGGCATGGGGATGAGGGAAGGCTGGGACAGGTTCCGATGGAGGCGTTTCTGATGGCAGGGACAGAGGATGGGCTCCTCTGCGGGGGAAGGAAACCAAGTTCCCAGTCCTGTGTGTAGCGCCCTTGCATGCGCGCCTGTGAGAGATGAGTGCGCGCCCTGCAAAGCTAAAGAAAGGGTCCCCCGCACGTGTCCCGGTGTCTTGGGGGCAGTGGAGAACCTGCTGTTTAGCAGCCCTGGCACCCAACTGGGGTCGTTGGCTTATTTCAGCTGTGAGTTTATTTAGTGTGAGATTAGAGATGCCCAAGCTTTGTGTTTGTTTTAAAGACCAGGAATGATCTTCAGCATCAATTTGGAGCATTAGTTCTTAAATGGGATGGGCGCAGTAATTCCCAAGGCAGGGATGCTTTGTGTTGGAAAAGGCAGAACGCTGCCAGTTTCATTTGGAGATATTCCCCTTAGGAATAATGCTGAGGCTGGGTGCTAACTGGCGAGTTTGGGGATGAGCTCACTGCTCACACTCTCCAGGCAGCCTGAACCATCTCAGGGCAGAGTATCAGAGTCTGGGTCATGCACCGAGGAACAAGGAGTGCATGTTTTGTCCATCAACAGTTCTCATGCATACCGAAGACAATCCCAGGAAGATTGCTCACTCTGTTCTGTTCTGAGAAAATGTATCCTGTTCTTAATG